AGAGCTTGTAACACTCCAAAGAGAAAGGAAAAATTTAAATCGCATCATATGACCCCTTTAAGACAAACCTTTATTTATTATTGCCATTGCATTGTAGTTCACATTAACTATGGATATGTTGTGCTAACCTTTGACAACCAGAAAGTGTTATGTAAACCAGTTTGTTTTCCAGCACAAGTGTTTATGAATTAATTGCTGTCTTGAAGTATCCTGTATAATTGTAATTATAGTACTTTTAATTTTCAGCTATTATTGCAAAAGCACAACACAATGGAAACAAGCCTCAACACAACGAAATTAGCACAACACAATGGAAACAAGATGCAACACAACGGAATTAGCACAACACAATGAAATTAGTCCTATGCATTGTGTTGTGGCATTTTCGTTGTGTTGTGCACTACTGGGCCACCAGTATGTTCTATATGACAGAGCATCAAATATTGTACACATTTCATGCAATATACAATATATTTGACTATGTGTTGCTGTCCCCACAGTCCCTTCCAGATGTGATGTGCTGAAGAGGTGTTTCATGCGTGTACCATATGCGTCACAGGCCCTTGACAACTTCAACCAGTTCCTGAAAGACATTGACGTCACTTTGCCCAAAGTGCCTTCCATGCCCAATCTGCCCCCTGCTCTCTCTCAAATCACCCAACAGCTGCCGTCACTCCCTCCTCAACTGGCACAGCTACCACAACAAATTTCCCAGCGACTCTCCAATATCACCCCACAGTTCCCAAACCAGATGCTTTTTAGTGCTCCTCATTTTCCCAGCTTCCCCGTGCAGTTATCCCGCCTCCCACAACAGCTGTCCAAAATTCCGCAACAAATTTCAAACCTCCCGCAAAAGGTATCCAACTTTCCACAAAGGCTGACCAGCATTCCATGGTTTTCCATCCTTCCGCAACAGGTCTCCAACATTCCGCAACAACTCTCCAGCATTCCACAAAAAATATCCAGCATTCCACAAAAGATAACCAGCATTCCACAGAAGATATCCAGCATTCCACAGTGTGCCCAGCAGTGCTACTCTAACATTCAGAGCCGTCTCAACAAACTTAAGCCGGAACAAGATGCCCAAGGAGCAACCGCAGAAGAGTAGGGATCTGGAGTTGGACCATCTCGTCCGCCAGTCCCCGCTCCAGTCCCCCCCTACCCCTTCACCCTCTTCCCCAAGCTCCGTCCTAGACTTACCCAATGTGCCCTCTTACCCCCGTCTGCCACCCATCACCCCTTCCAGGCAGTTGTCAGGCGTCTCCAACCCTGCCTTTCACATTGAGGACGACCCGACCTCTGCTAGACCCTCAGGTGATCCACACTGTCGCCTTTTTTGTTAGACTAGTCTGTGCTATGCTTTTCTTATGCCTTGCTGCCAAATGTGACTTAGAAAAAGTTAGGTTGTGGGTGCCTGTAGTGACCAAAGTGACCTCTTTATGTTCCAACCATTGACCTCATTCCCTAAGGTCCATTTTACCTCAAGGTAAATCTTGAAGAGGGTGCTACTGAAGGTGTCCGTGTCAAGGTTTCTTGTGTGTTACTTTATCGAGTATCGTCTAATCTCCAGTGAGCTCCAGACTGAGTGTGCACCCGGCCGTGAATGTCGAAGATGTCGACTCCGACCGAGGGAAAGGAGGAAGACGATCTCGCCCCATACCACCAATAATAAACCCACAGGACCCTAACCTCAAAACCCTCACTGTCCCTGGTGCCCGTAAAGCCAATCGGACCAGGTAAATCTGCCTTGTTTGATTAATCAATGGATGTAGAAAAGTGTGGTTACATTAGCAATATTTCACAGCCAAAAAGATCTATTGTTTTTTTGTCAATGTAGCAATGTATAAGGCACTGCTCACACAGAAGTCACTTTCAAATCAAGAAGTAATGCGGTGAATTCATGTGAACAACTTGAACCCTCATGCGAAATTCCAGATTACATGGATTCTTATCGAAATGGTTGGATTGCAGACAATGGTATAGGTGACCAAAGAGTAAATATAAAGGACATTTGCACTGCACTTGTCCTGTGATAACATAAAGCCCAAACTACACTTCATGTTTTACAGAAACTTCCACTTTCCCACTGTCTGAGGGAAACTCTTAAAGCCATGTGTGCTGTTCACATCCAATCAGTGTTATTGCCCTCATAAATATGCAAATCATAATGTTAATCCAGGGTTTACAAATATACATTGAATTAACAAGTTCAACTGTGAAAAATACACAAATATTGATATACATTTTATGTTTTGTTTCTTTTCTGTTCTGTTGTCTGTGCACACACAATCACTTACGCACATATATACACGTCACTGGATGCAAACAGTGCATGCAGAGACCGAAAACCACAGACAATTTGGACCAAGATGTAAGATGTTTTAAATAAGTCTCTCAGAACAATCCACTCCATATTCTCCTCTTCATTTTCTGCATCTGTGTGCCTATTATTAAGTATGTGAAGACTTTCCCATTACCTTACATACCATATCAGAGTTGTTGTTTTTTTCATTTCATTTTTCAATGCATTTATTGTAACTTGTCTTATTTTTGTGATTAGTCCTGTAGAGCCCCATCATAACATACCCTTGTTGTCTTCTTACAGCAAGAGACTTTACTCACAAGATGATGAGGAAGAAGAGGAGTTAGAAACTGCAGTCCGGGCCTGGCCAAGCCAGAGTAGCATCTCAAGTGCAGATGACGGGTAACAAATACATACTCTTTTAAAATGTGAAATTAACATGAATGCATGAAAATGTTGCTGGAAATGTGGCACAAAACACATTACATATATAGGCCAGTTGCAAATTATGTTGATGTTCTTTAGTGTGCTTTGGGAAACCCAAGAACAATATATATATATAAATATGGGATTGTTTTGGTGACTTTCTTCAGGCTAAATCAACGGCCAGCCTCTTCAGCCAGCCAAACTAGTACTGTAGTAAATGAGAGGTTACAAGAGCTGGTCAAGCTGTTCAAAGAGAGAACAGAGCGAGTCAAAGAGAAGCTGATTGATCCAGATAACTCGGATGATGAAACACCACCTGCCTGTGAGTTAAACCCAAAATATCACACCAAGTGGCATTTATTATAAATAATGTAAGGAGATGCTAGCAAAAATTCTAGCAAATTGTTTCTTATAAATGAGTTTGTTGACAAAACAATACATATAATGTGCTTAATCAAGACAAAAAGTATTTGGACGCTGGTTGTCAAACATTATTTAATGAACTTAGTTCCTAATTAAAGTTGGGGCTAGTTGTTTAAAAAAAAAAAAGGTTGAGAAATGCTGTATCATTTCTTTGCACATGCCACTTAAGTTGTTATTCAAGTTGAAATTCATACATTTTATGTGTGACTTAAGTGTACACATACTTTTGAGGGCTATTACAGTTTCAAAGTGTATGTACCAAATAATATGGTCTTTTATGAACAGCCCCAGCTGAGCAAGCTCCAGCTCCTCCTCCTCCTCCTCCTGAACCTCCAGCAGATCAGAAAACAGAACAGGAGGTACCCGAGGCCCCTGCTGAGAAAGAAGAGAAGAAAACAAAGGTCCTGTGCTGTAAAGTGAAACCTCAGTCCAAGATTGGTCGGCTTCTGCAGTACGGTTTTCCATCCAGCATCGACCCATTCACCAGTAAGCGCTCCTCCCGTCTCCTGCACTCCTCTCTTCTCTTTGTAATCCTGAAGACTACAACTGTCTAATTTTAGCTGTCTTGGCATTCCATAAATCCGATCATAAATCCGATCCGATCATTTTTTTGTTCTGTTCTCACACCCTTTTCCTCCTACGCTTCACATTCCGCTCTCATTTTTAAACTTAAAGGGGTCATATGATGCTGCTAAAAAGAACATTATTTTGTGTATTTGGTGTAATGAAATGTGGTTATGCGGTTTAAAGTTCAAAAAACACATTATTTTCCACATACTGTACATTATTGTTTCTCCTCTATGCCCCGCCTTTTTGATTTTTACAAAGCTCGTCGGTCTGAAACCCCGGCTTAGCGTGCGCTGAGGCCGGGATAGAGTGAGCTGAGGCGGGCTGGACTCCGCTTTGTCCACGGTGAAAGTTGATGTATTCCCTCAGCGACCAGCACGGATCAGCTCTAGGCATGACGAAGCAGATATCGTCCTCTTTTGGAAGACCAAACAAAGTAGTTTCGCTTTCACAACGAAGCACACAGCGTCTTCAGGACATGGCTGCAGCGTCAACAAAACTACAGTGAGAATCAAAGTTACGCCTTCTTTCTTTGCGTGAACATTTGGGCGGCGTTATGCAAATCTTCTCAGATCGTGACGTAGGTATGTGGGGGCGTGTTAGAACGAGCCGTTTTAGGTAGGCGTGGTTAACTCTTAACTTTTATAAAGAATATCTCTTTGGTTTTGAGACTTTAGTGTTTGCAACTTTACAGATCTTCTTTATGCACCAAGAGCTTGTAACACTCCAAAGAGAAAGGAAAAATTTAAATCGCATCATATGACCCCTTTAAGCCTTTGGTAACTAAGCATCAGGTTTATAAATGATAAATTAAAAGAAAAACTTGTGCTTTTGTATAAGGGGATAGATTTGGTGCACATTGGTGATTTAATTTAATTTATATTTGTTAATTCATTTAAATCATTCAAGTTTAATGTAAATAAATAAAAAATTAAACATTGCAACTCCTACAATTTGTTTGGTTTTAAATAAATATTTTGGTGAACCACAATATTTGTTTTCCATAAACCATTTGAGTAATCTTCCATTGCTCTGTATTCTCTGTAGATCTGATCTACGTACTTTGGCTGTTTTGCGTGTCTTTGGCATTTAACTGGAACGCATGGATGATTCCTGTGCGTTGGGCATTTCCATATCAAACACCAGATAACATCCATGTTTGGCTGTTGATTGACTACTTATGTGATGCCGTTTACATACTGGACATCCTGGCCTTTCAACCCAGACTGCAGTTTGTGCGTCATGGAGACCTTGTGGTAAATATAGACAAAGACAAGCAAAATATTGGAGTAAAATTAATGTTTTTTTCACCCTGTTTTGAAAAATATTTGTTTTCAGACCGGCAAGAAAGAGATGAGAAATAATTACATCAAAGCTGTACGATTCAAGGTAGTGAGACATTTACGCTGTTTATCGTTTCATTAAATACAAATTTGGACTTTTTCAGACTGATTAAATTTGATGCTCTGAGGTACTGGACACATTCTGTAGTCTGAGGATGTCATTTCCTGTGTTGCAGCTGGATGTGGTCAGTCTACTTCCTCTGGAACTCCTCTACTTCAAAACAGGGATTAATCCACTTCTTCGCTTACCCAGGATCCTGAAGGCAAGCTGCTACTCTGACCGTCTAACTGGACTTTAGAAAGATCAGTCCATGATGAACTTAGCTAATTCTTTAATGTGTCCTTCCTTTGTGCAGTTCATGTCTTTCTTTGAGTTCAACAAGCGTCTGGAAGCTATACTGACCAACGCTTACGTTTACAGGTTAGCTGTTAGCTTCTATAAACCTTTCTATTGAGAATTTGTGCAACATTTTATTTGGAGTGTTTATGCCCGTTCATATCTCTCATTTCATTTATCAGAGTTATTCGAACCACCACCTACTTGCTGTATGCCGTCCACTGCAATGCATGTCTGTACTACTGGGGCTCTTCATATGAAGGTCTGGGTTTCTCAGAATGGACCTATGATGGGACAGGCAATAGGTAAGTTAATCAGTTCTGTTATTAGCTTTCGTTTACATCCAATCCAGTTTTTTTTGCACCAAAAATAGTTTTACATGTTTTGCTCCTGTACCTTTAAGAATTATGTATGTAAATGACCTGTTATGATTGGCTGAAATTGATGCACCAACATAAGGTTGTTCATTATAGTAGGCCAAACTGCTGCATAGTCATTAATATGTAAATGTGGGCAGGCATATGTTAATTTACTCATGTTTACAAATCATGGTGATTTTTTAAAACAAATAAAAAAAAATTATCCTATAACCCCTTTAAATTTTATCTTTAAACGTAATATTTTCAAAGTTTATATTTTAAAATATAACTAATTTGTTTATATTCACTTTGTGACTGTTTCAGTTATTTTCGCTGCTACTACTTCGCTGTGAAGACTTTGCTGACCATTGGTGGTCTGCCAGAACCCACAACACTTTTTGAGATTGTGTTTCAGCTCATCAATTACTTTATTGGAGTGTTTGTGTTCTCCATCATGATTGGTCAGGTAAGGCCATTATCATTGTGTGAAAGGCATCAACTGATTGGTTTTCAATAGTGTTTAATATCATTGATTGAGGCTTGCGTTGTGTCAGATGAGAGACGTTGTTGGTGCAGCGACTGCGGCTCAGACAAACTATCGTGCCTGTGTGGATAACACAGTGAAGTACATGGCCTCCTACCGCATCCCTAAAGATGTGCAGAACAGAGTGAAAACCTGGTACAGCTACACGTGGCAGTCCCAAGGAATGCTGGGTAAGACCATAAGACAGACATCAACGCCAAAATACATTACAGGCATTTATCCATAATGGTCAGTTGATTACTTTAGATAAAAATTGACATTTTGTGGTTTCATGCAGATGAACAAGAGCTATTAGATCAACTACCCGACAAGATGAGGCTGGATATAGCAGTGGACGTCAGCTACAACATTATAAGTAAAGTGCCACTCTTCCAGGCAAGTGCTAAAACTTAAAAATCTGCATAAATTCTAATAAATACAGTAAAATTCTAACAAATATATTTAAATAAATAATATATAAATTACATAAACATATATACATATATAATTGAATATAAATTGAATTTAAACCTCGCGCCGAGACGCCCAAACTGTTAAAAGCTGCACTGGAGATGACAGAGAAAACAGGAATGAAAGGAACATGGTCCAAAATTAAGGACAGGAGCAACAGATCGAGTGTCTCCTTGCAGGTACATACCCTGAATTTGACCCAACAAAATTGATTTAAATTTAATATATATATTAAATTATAATGATATAATAATTTATAGGAAAAATATATATAACAAGATCATTTTATATATATATATATATATATATATATATATATATATATATATTAGTTGTAAAAAAATATTTGTAATATATAATAAGTATTTATCAAATATATTTCTTTCATTTCTTTCTTATGTAGCACTCCATTTCTTCCTCTGCGGTGCCCAACTCTCCAGTCCATGAAGCGCACTCAGATCAAGACGCAGACACTCTGTCTCAGATATCAGACAGTTCAATGCAAATCCCCACGACCCCCACCGGCGCTGGAGACAGGAATGCATTTGCTGAAGAGGGCCCAGCAGAGGAGGAAACTAAATAGAAAAGAAGTAATCCAGTGGCAAATAATGCAGCTACAAAATAACCCAGACAGCTGAGACCATCAAAATAATTTGCAGGACACTGTTGTGCTCAGTGTTTTGCTTCTGAAACGGGTCATGTGGTCAGGTACAGTCAGTGAACTCAGGAATTCTCATTTCGTTTTCTCATTCAGAATCTAAATTAATGATATACAGTAATAAGCAGAATATAACTTCTCATACATCAATAAGCATATCATACTAGCATAACCCATGAGGTCTACCCAGGATGTCTGGATGCTTTTAGCTTTGGTCAGATGTCAGTTACTGTAGTGAATTATAGAAAGTCAACTAATAAGATTATTTCACTCTTGATAAATAACATGATGTATGTGCTTACACCTGTTAACATCCCTAATGAAGAGCTATTGCATTAAAACAGACCTGAAATCTTGTTTGCTTCTGCTATCCAAGTGCCTTAATAAACATTGAACACTGTTAAGCACTGTACACACCCTCAGTGCTCATTGCTATATGAGCTCATATATATTTTAGCATTATGTAGCATTTCGTCCCAGTTTTTCAAAGTATATCCCAGTGTCCCAACAGTTCACTTAAAAACGCAATACTTTTCAGCTGTGTGGCCTGTTTGAAACACTCTAGGTCTAAACTAAAGATGTTACATTAATATGAAATGCACATTAATTTGTAACATTTTCTCTGAATGTATAAACTGCATCTTTTGGAATTATTGTTATACTTTCAGGTCGGTTAGTTTCTCTGTGCAACATCTGTCTGCTGAAGATAATAGTGTCAAAGTTTTTTATTCCTCTGTTCATGATATCCAGATGTAGGAGGAAAAGTTTTTGCTGCCATTAACTAAAATCAAATAGTTAACAGCTTTTCAGAAGTAAGAACAGATGGGGGCAGAAGGTTTAAAAAATGAAAATCGCCTTTTTTATATAAACTGTCTCTGAAGACTTGTTTTTAATTACGTTTTCTTGTTTTTATAGCTTCCTTGTTATATAAGTGTGCGTCAAACACTGGAAAGTTAGTTATGCCTGTTGGACAATAACACGTTAAATGGAATATATACTTTTGAGCTAGCAGCTAGACATTATGTACAGGCTTTATTTATGAGTATTATTTACTTGTGTAAATGTTGTTGATTGCTGATACTCTTTATTTGTATTATATTGCTGTTGCAGAATGTTTAGTATGTGTTTAGTACATTCTGAGCAGCTAAAATGTTTTATGGCCTGAGTGACTCAATTGTAAATAATTCAAATAACTGTAAATAATAATCTCTAGGTCAGTGTTGAGTGATTTGAAATTGTGTCAGAATTAAAGTAAATGATTGTATGACTATTTGTATATTTTTCTTTGATGCTCCACTGTACAACGCTTTTCTATTCTTTCAAAAAACAATTCTCCATTTTTTCTCCTTTCTCCCTTTTTTATTGCAGAGCAAGAATTCTTACACAGAAATATACATACACAGGATATACACAGTGTACTATTGTTACAATAATAGTAGCATCAAAACAATAAAATTAAAAATCATCAAATTTAGTTACAAACTCTTATACAATAAAAATATATCTTAAGTAATTAGCCGCGTTTTTATATATGTTTTATGGATTATTGTTTTAAGTTACAGAATGCACATTTAGTCTCCATGTCTCCAATAATCTCGAGACTAGAAAAGTTTCAAAGAACCGACTGAACACCAGATATAGTCATCATAATCATCAGATCCTCCTGTCCACCCTCTCGTCCCTGGCTCTAGGCATCACAGGGATTCCACTTCGCTGGTTTGAATCCTATCACTGGTAGGTCTTTCAGGGTGGCCTGGGGAGGGGAGGTATCCAAAGCACATCAACTGTCACTGGGGTTCCTCAGGGATCAGTTCTTGGACCCCTCCTCTTCTCCATATACACTACATCACTGGGTCCCATCATACAGGCACATGGTTTCTCCTACCATATGCTGATGACACACAGCTATATCTTTCATTTCAACCAGATGATCCAACGGTAGCTGCACGGATCTCAGGCTGCCTGGCGGACATCTCGGCATGGATGAAAGAACATCACCTACAGCTCAATCTGGCAAAGACTGAGCTCCTTGTTTTCCCTGCCACTTCAACTCGACAGCATGACTTCACCATCCAGTCAGTGCAATTACCCCATTAAGTTCGGTCAGAAATCTTGGTGTAATCTTTGATTACCAGCTGACTTTCAAAGACCACATTGCAAAAACTGCTCGATCTTGCAGGTTTGCATTGCACAACATCAGAAAGATCAGGCCCTTTCTATTGCAAAAACTGCTCTATCTTGCAGGTTTGCATTGCACAACATCAGAAAATCAGGCCCTTTCTAACGGAGCACGCTGCACAACTTCTTGTCCAGGCCCTTGTCATTTCTAGGCTGGACTTCCATCATGCACAATCAAACCTCTACAAATTATTCAGAATGCAGCAGTACAACTGGTCTTCAACGAGCACAAAAGGGCCCATGTTACACCTCTCTTTATCTCCCTGCACTGGCTACCGGTTGCGGCTCGCATCAACTTCAAGACATTGATGCTTGCATATAGAACAACCACAGGCTCAGCACCCTCCTACTTTTTGAACCGATTTAGTCCAATTCGTAAATGAATCAATCAGACGGGTTCTGTGAACAGGTTAAATCGACTCATTGAAAACATTCGACTCGGATCCGCTGTTCATTCATCACAGCATTCATCATCACGCGCTTCGTACGTCAAAATGTCGAAAGAGGCACGCAGAAATTGTGGATGATTTCGTGAGTATGTGACGAGGCATTGGAGTGAACTGAGTTAGGGGTGCAAGAAATGGCGTCAAAACGTCCTTTTTGCGATGCAGACTTTTTGTGTGCTGTTTGTCACGATGTTTTCGATCGTCCTGTGGCGCTTCTGTGCGGCCACAGTTTCTGCAGAGACTGTGTTGAGCAGTACTGGAGTGTCAGTGACTCAAGACAGTGTCCAATGTGCAGACAAATATCTGCTAACACGCCTTCCCTTAACTTGGCTCTTGGAAACTTATGTCAAGCATTCCTGCATCACAAACGGCATTTAGAGGAGCTGTGTGAAGTTCACCAGGAGAAACGGACTCTGATGTGTTGTGTTGATGAGCAGTTAGTGTGTGAGATTTGTGGACAATCTGAAGAGCACAGAAATCACACATACCGTCCAGTTCAAGAGGTCGTGGAGGAACATAAGGTATCTTGAAGATGTATAACATTTTAATGATGTTAGGTCAACTTTTGAATATTTAATGTTCTAATAAGCAATTCAAATGTTTTACTTTTAGGGAGTTCTGCGGTCAGAAATTGATCTCTTGAAGGAGAACATGGAGCTCATGCAGCAAGCTGATTTTGAGTGTGATTTATTGGCACTTAAGATGAATGTAAGAAGTTTTACAAATTATTTACAAATGCTAAAAGGTGCACCAAGTAACTTATTACATAGTCACAAAACTTTTAAATCCAAACATGTTTAGGTTACTATACAAATTACTTTAATGTTGAAATATAATTTAAAAAAAATCACGAATTTTCGTTTTTAAAATGTAAGCATGAACCCCCAACCCCACCCCTAAACATAACCATCACTGTGGCGTAAGCTGATCATAAGAAAATGTACGGATGAGATTGCACAATTTCAAACAATTGAAAAATAATTAAAATTAAAAATGTGTCGGTGCACCTTTAATATAGTCAACTTAGCATGTTATAATTGTTACAATAGTATAGAGTAAGCATTAACATGTATTGGTGTTTTTAATGTGAATCCTTTCAGTATGATGCAGCAGATTTGGAAAATCGAATCAAGGCTGGGTTTAAGGATATTCACCAGCTTTTGGATGACGAAGAAAAGGCAATGTTTAATGAACTAAAACTGGAAAAGAAGGAGAAACTGGAAAGTCTGAAAATTAAAAATTAGATGATCAGTGAAGAAATTCAGATGCTCACAACTACTATTAAAGACTTGGAAAAGGAGTTAAATAGTGGGGACATCAGAATAATTCAGGTTAGCTCTTTGTTTTGTCTTATGTTTTATTAAAGTGAATTCAAAAATTGCTAAAATTAAACCGTTCCTATTTCCTACATTTTCAATAGAAATTCAAGGACACATTTGTGAGGTAAGCAGGGTTTCTTCTCCAACTATGACAAAGTTTTGAAATCAAGCATAAGTTCTCACTGCTTAATATTTTTTTTTCCAGAGCCCAGTGCAAACCTGAGGAACCAGAGATGGCTCCAGGAGATCTCATTGACATTGCAAAGTATGTGGGCAACTTTAATCACAATGTTTGGCAGAAAATCAGACGATCTATCAGTTACAGTGAGGCAATCTATAATTCAAACTCTTGTAAATACACAAAATACAGCCTTTCTTTCAGTGTTTCATTTCTGCTCTTAAACACTCTTTCTCTTAGCTCGTGTGGTTCTGGACCCTAACACAGCCAACTTTCACCTCACATTATCTGTTGATCCGACAAGTGTGTGGAATCCCAATAAATCTGAGGTGATTAATGAGCAGAGTAACAATAACATTGAGAGATTTGCTGATTGTCCCTGTGTGCTGGGCTATGTGGGATATTCCACTGGGAAGCACACCTGGGACGTTGACGTGGAGGAGAACACGTCCTGGATGGTAGGTGTCGCCATAGAGTCTGTCCAAAGAAAAGGAACCAATGGCTTGCCCAGTGGAATCTGGTGTATCGGGCATGACAGGGAGGTACTTAGTGTCACGGATCCTCTGGAGTCCCGCGTCCCGCTACATGGATTTGCGAAACCCACAGTAGTGAGGGTGAACCTGGACTTGAGTGCAGGACGGCTGTCGTTCTCAGATCTTCTGGGAGAGACGGTCTATCACACCTTCACACACATTTTCACTGAGAAGGTCTTTCCATTCTTTATACTAAGTGCCATTTTCCTCTCACTATTCTGCCTAAATCGTTCAATAAAGAAATCTAAAGTGCCTTTGCATTTGAACCGATTCAGTGATTTAGTTTTGTCTTTTGCTTCTCCAAGGCAGATTTAAATTTGAGTTGAAGTACCGCATTACATTTACTAAACTTAGTTTTTACGAACATTTCATTGCTATGGTGTCTTGTGTTTGACGGAAAAGACAGCCTTAATATTTCTGCTTTTGCTGTGTGTTCTTGAGGTTATTATGGTGGTTTAGTAAGTATTAAAATGTAGTAAGCTTGAAAAAAATGACATTGGTGTTATAGTCATTTATATGGGCTGTTTGTTTGTAATGACTTTTGCTGAATATTTAAGGTTAATCAAAAAGTTAATTTAAGCAAAAGTTCATTTATGCTTTCATTACCAAAATAAAGCATTGCATTATAAATGAGTGGAGAAAGTTATGTCTTGGTACTTGTTTTGTGTTCAATTGCCATCAGTAAAGATGCATTTAATTTGAAATGTTTTAATGTTTAAATAGTTAATATAATGATATGTTTATTTTTAAGAATCATAAGTCATAAACATGTCTCAATCCAACAGGTTTAGCTACCTGAAAGAAAAAGTCTTTTAATTAAAGGGGGCATATGATGTTGCTACAGCGTCACACACGGCGGGCTAGAGTGAGCAGAGGCCGGAGGCCTTGAGTGAGCAGCTTCTGGCTTGAGTGAGCGGCGGCGGCCGGGCTTGCAGCAACCACATGTGACGACCCCGGGCTGGACTCCGCATCTTCTTTATGCACCAAGAGCTTGTATCACTCCAAAGAGAAAGGAAAAATTTAAATCGCATCATATGACCCCTTTAAATCAGTTGAAGGTTTCTACTCTATAAAAACCCATCAAATGCCCTAGAAGCAGGGCCGTACTAATTGTATTGATATATATTTTTAATATTTTGCTTACGTGTAGTATCATATTTTATACATTAGCTTTTTATGGCGCATATAATATAAGAATATGGCTGGACAAAAAAATCCTCATTTTCATTCAGAGGCCCAACTGAGCGAAAAAAATGCAATTTGATGTAAAATGTAAGGTAAAAGTAACAGAAAAAAACTATGAATCAGAATGCAGAAAGCATGTAGAGGATTGTGTAGAACAGGTTTTCAGCAAGATTTTGAGCAAAACATGACACTGCATGTATAGTGTTACATTAATTCATTCCGCAGAAAGATATAGTCCCTTCCATAGTATCCTCAGCGCGTCGCTATCTCTTGCGCAGTGATACAGTTAACAGGTGATTCACGTCGTTTTACTAAAGGCTGATTAACCAATCAACATCCAGCACCGGAGACGGGTGAGGGTGACTGAGCTCGCTGAATTCTGTAGTGGTGGTCAAGGTGGCGAAATGGGGTCGTTTTCTGACCAACATTTATCGTGCCCTGTTTGTTTACACATTTTCGACGACCCTGTGATTCTTCCCTGCGGCCACAGTGGCTGCAGAGCCTGTGTTGAGCAGTACTGGAGGGTCAAGGGTGAAAGAGTGTGTCCAGTGTGCAGAGAAATGTCTGCTGCGAACAATCCTCCTCTTAACTTGGCTTTGAAAAACTTATGCCAGGTGTTCCTGGATCACAGGAGGCATTTAGATGAGCTGTGTGAAGTTCACCAGGAGAAACGGACTCTGGTGTGTTGTGATGATGAGCAGTTACTCTGTGAGATTTGTAGACAATCTGAAGAGCACAGAAATCACACATATCGTCCTATTCAAGAGGTCGCTGAGGAACTTAAGGTAGGCCTATTATATGGTGTAGAATATATGAATATATTGGAAAGATATTTATTGTAACTAATGTGGTAACGATAGACTTGAACACAGGGACTGCTTTTCTTTTGTTTAGTTTATTCAGTTTATTCAGGTAAAATGGGGGCGTAGTTGTGCCGAGTTTGAATCATACCAGTGAATCGATTCTTTTGAATCCGTTCACGTATAGCTGCAGGTTATGCCAGTCGGTGTAGATCTTCTGCGTTGTGAGTGAATCACTCAACCGATTCGTTGATTTATCAAAATATACGTATTACAAATTTACAGAGATTCTCCAGAAATGTTAAACATAATAAGCATTATCTCCGCAGATAATGACTTGATTTTTTCTCCCCATAAGACTCCTTCAAAATTTCTTAATTTTAGGGAGTTCTCCGTTCTCAACTTGATCTTCTGACAAGAAAAAGGAAGATGATGCAAGATGCCGGAATTCACAGTGATTGCATGGTTGACCACATAATGGTAGGAGTAAGCGTTTGTTTTCCAAATTTTACTGTAAAGTTTTGCTATGTAAATTCATCTGGTAAATGATTCTCATAAAATAATGTTTAAATCTGTAAAACGTCTGTAATTATAATGTAGCCTACACCATGCTCCTTTAAAGTCCGTGTAATGTATAGACATCATTTAATGTTTTTTTTTTCTTTGAATCCTTTCAGAATCAGGCCACATTTATAGAGAACACAAGCAAGGATCATTTTGAATCTCTCCATCAGTTTCTAAAGGAAGAAGAACAGGCCATGCTTGAAGAACTAAATCAGGAAACAGAGCAGAAAGCAGACCGCATCCAAGAGAAGATGCTGAAGATAAATGAGGACATCATCTCCCTCTCGAACACTATTGGACATTTAGAAAAGGAACTTGGGAATGGAGACATAAGAATAATTCAGGTTAGCCATTTATTCTTCTGTCAACTTCTTCCCCCTCCAGGTAGTACAGATGTACAGTAAAAATACATGTCAAACCTCCCTGCTCTGCATCTAATACTTGTTTCTTATTCATTTTGGGGTGCTGATTCCAAAAATAGTGCCTGTTTTGCTCTAGCATGTTACACTTTCTCACAAAATATTTATTTCATGGCATTTTTTTGCTTTTGACAATCATTTGTAAGGTGAAGAAGTCTTGTATTATCCCTTAATCTTAGCTGATTTTCATATGTGTGAATTATTCTGAAGACATTATTTTATTCATGATCCTGATTCATCCTATAAATCATTTGAAAAATCGTCATTCTTTGTGAAAACTATTCACCACATGCAGTTTTTTTTTTTAAATATTTTTAACAGCATCATCAAATGAGGTATTAATAGCACCTGCAGGGCTATGTTAACTTGGTATTTTAACTTAACTATGGTATTTTTTCACAGTTTAATTACTAATAATTTTAACATGTTAACTGTTTTCTACAATTAATGTATTCGCACATTTAAAAAATGGTTTGACGTTTTCATTAACTCTTATCTCCTGCATGTTAGAACTTCAAAGAAACACTTAAGAGGTAAGCAAGCTTTTTTCTTTCCTCCTGCCACCTGTTTATGAAGATTTAAAGCGTCAGTGCTTACTGTTGAATGTTTTTTCAGAGCCCAGTGCAAATTCCAGGCTCCAGAGATCACTTCAGGAGACCTCCTTCACTCTGCAAAGTATTTGGGCAACTTCAAGCTCAATGTTTGGAAGAAAATGAGAAACCGTTTCAGTTACAGTGAGTCAGTCCATATATATTTAGCAGCCATATCACCCTGTAGCCCAAGACTGGTTGCCCACTGAAGCTAAGCAGGGCTGAGCCTGGTCAGTACCTGGATGGGAGACCTCCTGAGAAAACTAGGTTGCTGCTGGAAGAGGTGTTAGTGAGGCCAGCAGGGGGTGCTCACCCTGTAGTCTGTGTGGGTCCTATCGCCCCAGTATAGTGACGGGGACACTATACTGTAAAAAGCACCGTCCTTCGGATTAGGGATGCTCCAGTCCGCCTTTTTCGCTTCCGATACCGATTCCAATACCTAGGGTTCAGTACGACACCCGGTAGCAAGTAACAAAACAACATTAAATTCCGGCAAGAAGATAAAGTCCTTTTTGCAAAATCATAGACATGTATTTACAAATCAAGTATAATGGCAACACAGAATGATCTTGGAGAGAGCTTTACCAGGTGGATGCTGCACACTGGTGGTGGTTGAGGAGATTCCCCGCCTTTCATGTAAAGCGCTTTGAGTACCCAGAAAAGCGCTATATAAATGTAACGGATTATTATATTTAATCCACAAATACAACATTTTGTATCATTATTTTTAATCTTTATGCAAATCTCCGATAGGTCCTGTGGTGCTGGACCTCAACACTGCTTGCCATCAACTGTCAACGTGCACCAATCTGACTACTATATCAAACCACGAAGATCTTATGGAGGAAGACAGGCAGGAATGGCTGCCTCTCAATAGAGAGAGATTTGCTGATTGTCCCTGTGTGCTGGGCTATGTGGGATATTCCACTGGGAAGCACACCTGGGACGTTGACGTGGAGGAGAACACGTCTTGGATGGTAGGTGTCGCCGTAGAGTCTGTCCAAAGAAAAGGAACCAACGGCTTGCCCAGTGGAATCTGGTGTATCGGGCATGACAGGGAGGTACTTAGTGTCACGGATCCTCTGGAGTCCCGCGTCCCGCTACATGGATTTGCGAAACCCACAGTAGTGAGGGTGAACCTGGACTTGAGTGCAGGACGGCTGTCGTTCTCAGATCTTCTGGGAGAGACGGTCTATCACACCTTCACACACATTTTCACTGAGAAGGTCTTTCCATTCTTCTACAATGAGTGCGCATACCCTATTAGTATTCTGCCTGTTGTTGAATCTGAAGAGAAATAAAGAGAATAATGTTGCCTTTCAGATACAGTGTTCTTGATATTGTTTTACTTTTTTCCGCTTGTTACTGCTATTGATATGGCTGTAGTTCCAAGGTCACTAAAGTTTGTAATGGCTTTAAGGTGTGTTCAGAATTAAGTAAACAATTTGGATTATGCATGTTATTGGTATAGCTTTAAGTACTATTTTGAATTAAACTTGTTTATCTTTGTGGGAAATCCTGTTACCAAACCCCATAGGAAGATGCTTTGCCATTCCTCCTGTTTGTGGAATAAAACTCGGTTGAGTTCAGTGTAGTGAGCCTTTTTATTTTAGTATAAACTTGAATCACACCCTCCTTGGGGACAGGATAGTGCTATTTTTAGTATTTGAAATAATTCATTCATAATTAGTACTTCATACATAATTAAAATGACAGATATTATATTTATAAAGAAAATATTTTTGGGGCTGCAGCTGAAGAGTCTTTCGGTTGGCTTTGTCCTCCCAAACACTTCCTGCAATCACACCATCAGAGAGAACAGACTTCACCACATGCAGTGGAACCAAAGTGCAGAAACAAACTTTTATAAACCTTTTAAAATAACTACAAGTAGCTGAAGTGCTTGAGTTATAAATGCTCAGACTGTATTAATGAGTGTGTGATGCATGTTAATGAACTTCATACAATCATATAGTCAGTCATATAGTGCATCATATAGTCAATCATATAAATCAGCTTATTGATCATAACTCCGATTGATTTGATCATATGATGAATGAATTACAAAACAACCTAAATAAACTGAATTTAAAAGACTGATTGTTGATTATACAATAACAGCAATTGTTAGTTTCTTTGATTTATCAATAATAAGCCAGAGAGGAAGAAATCCAACACTTCGATTTATTTTTTAATACGTTTGCCATTTTTTTTTCAACTCTGTTAATAACTCTTTAATATAAATTAATGTCAAATCAAAAAGTAATGACAAAAATTATTAGAGGAAAAAATATGATTTATATAACAAACAAGACATGGTCAAATCGGCTACAGTTGGTTACTTATGTATGTATCATTTGTTGATTGTGAACCCAAATGCCAATCAGCGTTCTACATTCCAAATCATTTTATGACGCCGCAATGGGAAAAGAGTGTATACTTGTGTGAACAAGCTCCAAAGAGAATATAGTCTATGAGAAAACAGAAAAAAGAATTTCACAGAGAAGAGAAATGTTTCAAGATAGCTGTGGAACATCCCTTGGCTTTCGCCCGTTTCTGCCATCAATCACCCGGCAGTGTAACTATGTACAGATTCTGTCAGAGCATCGAGAGTCTGTGAAGCCCACTGGCCAGACACCCACACACCTACAACTCCTGGTGACTGGAAACAAGCATAACATTGGTCTGCTCGACACTAACCAGACAACTATGCCAAGATCTTTAATTACAACTGAAAGGCCAGGCAGAGAAGTTAGTAAATTTACAGTGCCGACTCTGCCTCCGCTGGTTCGTACATCTGCTGTCAAGACGGATAAACCCCGAGCTCCGCTTCTACAGTCTGTTCCTCTGCCACAGGTTCTGACTCGGCGGGTAAAACCTGTGCCTCGAAACCCTGACGAGGAACCAGTTACAGCAGACAAGCAAAGCCCACTTCGTCAAAGGAACAGTGGCTATAAAAACAAGCGGCTAAGTAAAGACAAACAGCAAAAGCCATTAAGGCTCCTGACCGTCGCTGACATACCGCCAGTGACTGAATCAGTGAGGACCCTACTGATGTCCAAAGCGAGCGTTCAGCAGCGTCCACACCGCCAGCGACCCGCAGCGAGCCGACGGCGACACAAGAACAAGAAGCAGTATCTGTTGCGTTAAAATGTGGATGTGTCCAGCGACATGACAAATACATGAGCAAAAAAAAAAACAAAATTTTATTTACTTATTTAATAAAAACTTATTTCTGTCATACAGCTTTCATACTAAATGTTATAATAAAAATGTTAATACAAAAAGCTTACGTTTATTTAAAATTAAGTTTTTTATATTAAGCCAAGGCTACCGCAGATAGCCAAAATGTCTGTTAAAGATCGCTTCATCTGGAAAGCATCTGTGTACAAACATCTTTAAGATGCCAGTTTTACATACATTATAAATCATAAACATCATAAAGACATTTTCTAAATGTCTATTTTACATCTTGACGGGAAATGTTCTAGAGACATATTGCAGGAGAGCACCACTCCAAAGAATACGTAATTGATGCAAAAAATATTGTGCAATGATGAAAAAAGCATTATATTATATTATCCTATATTATATTATATTATATTATATTATACTATATTATATTATACTATATTATTCGGTTATTCGTGTATATTTCGGTGTATGGCGCATTTTTATGTTCTCGTTTACATGAATTACTGCGCCATCTGTCGACACAAATCCAAAGTCTGATTCCGTTTTTCATTAAACTACGTTTCCCAGAAAACTTTGCGCGCTGCTTGCACGTGATATCAACTGCTCTTCCTGTGTCCGTAGGTTGTTATTATTTGTTGTTTTTTTTTGCTGTTGATACATTTTTTTGAGGGTTGTGGGAACTGGCGGAATTTGGTGTGGATAATGTTGGGGTTTGGTGCATCGCTTAATACTGTGTAGAGAGGAACAACAGGAGGGTGTTATCCTCAGATGTTCCCGTGCTCATGAATGTTCAGGAAGACAGTCCACGACCTGCCAGCCTCTGAAGCGATTTAATCATAAACAGTTTTAAACTGTCAACGATTTAATATTGATATTAAATTGATATTAATGATAATAAATAAGACCAGATGACTGAGGTGAACTTATAGTCATGGAGAGTCCACATTTACCTGCTGAGGTGAGTCAAGCTAACACAGTCCCTATTAACGACTATACGTGTTCATTACATTGTGGTTTAATCGTAGGACAGCATGTTTTTGACACTTTACCATATAGATAGCACTGAATAGATATGAAGAATGACATTATGTCACACTTTTTTACCCCAGTTAATACTTCTTAGTATAGGTTAGTTTTTGAAAGTAATTTTCTGTATATTGGGTAAGTTGTCACAATGAAACCTGCCTTTAAACAGCCAGTTATAGGATTTTAAACTACAATTAAACAGTAAAACGATTATATGTGTGAGGGCCTAAATATATTAATATTATATAATATTTAAAATTATAAGAAATATATTCTTATGATATTTATTTATAAATGCATATATTAATAAAAATATTTATTCAAGAAGTAATATATAAATTGTGAAAAATACTGTTTTCCTGACATTTTGTGTTATATATGTATACAAATTATTTTTGTCATCTATATATGTGTCCTCTGTACATACATCATCTTATTATTTTATTGTCCTAAGATGACTCCTTGGATTTTTCCCCCCAGTCAGTTTAATAAAAGCAAAAATAAATAAATACAAGACAAATCAAATTTATAACATGAAAGTGACAATTTGCCCCAACCTTCATTATATAGTTGACTCTTGTCTTAATATTTAAGCGAGAGAGCGCAACCTGTGACTTTTCTTCTTTCTGCTCCAGATAATTTCTTACATATTGAGTTTCCTTCATGTAATGGATCGAAAGGAGGCGTCACTGGTGTGTAAGAGTTGGTATGATGCATGCCAAGACCACCGGTTTCAGGTTTTTGTCATTTTTCTTTTGAACATCTAGATGATCTAAAACATTATTCCTTTATTGTGTTTAGCCTGCTTCCCTAATTGTTTAAATTACCATTGCTTTACCACAGAAAAATGTCACTTTCAAGTTCCCTGTTTCCACATCTTCACTGGACTTTATCCGTGCACTTGCAAGGCACCCTCGCTGTGGCCTAGTCATCAGCCATCTTGATGGATCCAGTCTGTCAAGACAAGTACTTCTGGAGGTGGGGCTTCACCTCGGCCCTCGCTTGGACAGTTTGGCTCTACCTGGCAGCAGCGTCACAGAGGCTTCACTGCTGGGCCTCCTACCACATCTGACCGGCCTTCGCATGCTGGACCTCCAGGGGCTGGACAGCCTCTTTATGTCTGGAGCTTTTTTGTCAAGAGAGGAGCACCGTCGACAGGTTACATCTCAAAATTACATAACATTTCTGGAAACTTTCCAAAAATTTCAGAAAGTTTCCAAAAAAATCCTGGAAAGCTTCCTAGCTTTCTGGAGAGTTTTGGACATTTTCTGAAAAATGTTCACCTTTTTGCAACCCTACTCAAAATATAATGTCCATTTTTATTCTGTAAATTAAAGGGATAGTTCAGCTATAGGCAGATTCGAAAATGTCTTCGGCACAAGCTTTACCATTAACGCTACTGGAGCTGTTGTTAGAGTATCATCTTTTTTAGTGTTGTCTAGCCCAATCACACGCTGGTGGGCGGAGCTAGTGTAAATAGACTCTCCATTTTTTATTATAGGCTTTTCTAAATGAAAGCAGTTAAATGTTTATAGTTTTAAAACCATTATTTTGGCTAACCAATTTTAAATATTTACTGTTTTTTATAATATATATATATTGTATGCATGTACCATCTTATTATCTAATGTCATCTGATATAATCAATTATTTTTGCAATAATAGGTCCAGAATGCTTTGAGGAATCTGGAGGAACTGGACCTGTCTGATCTGCGCTATCTCTCAGACCTCTCTTTTAATCGCCTGACGAGTTGCACGCCCAGGTTACGCAGTCTGTCCCTGGCCGGATGTCACATCGCTTTCGAGTTCGACCCATACAGAGGTTGCCCGGTCGGGTTTGGCTCTTCCGCTCTAGTTTCCCTCCGTAACCTCCTGAGTCTCTTGCAGAAGCAGGCCTCCACGCTCCACAGCCTGGACCTGAGTCGCACCAGCATCACTCCCGAGTCGCTCCGCTCCATAGCTCAGGTGCCCGGCCTGCGCCTGGAGGATCTGAGTCTACGCGGCTGTAAAGAGCTGACGGACTACTCCATGGAAATCCTCTGCAAGCAGCAGAACGGTCTGAGGACGCTGGACCTCCGAGCCTGTACGGAGTTAACCAGTAGGACGGTGCTGGCTGTGGCCACTGAGCTGAAGGAGCTGCGGTCGCTGTCCCTCTCGCAGGACTGGAAGATCACGGATAAAGGCCTGGCCGAGCTGATGACGCTGCCGTGCTTGAGGAGTCTGGATCTGTCAGAGTGTCTGCATGTCAGTGGTGCAGACCTGGGGAAGGGTCTGTCCTCTCCACAGCCCAGGGCTCAGCTGGAGACCCTTAGCCTTAGAAACTGCACTTACATAAGGGTGAGGCAGAAAGTGCTGAATGGCACGTATACATGAAAAAGTGTATCCTATCAGTTAACGGCCAGTATTAGTAATTTTTTTAACAATTGTATGGGATTATATTATATATTTAATTGTTCCTGTTCATATCCCATACTTTTACATATAGATTCCCTTTGCCATCAACTAACTATCTTTAAAAATACTTATAGTTTATTAACTGTAAAATGCAATCTTTAACAAATTTCAAAATGATTATCCATTTTTCATATTTTAAATAATAATTATATTATAAATAATAAAATATTATATTAAAATTATAATGTTGTGATGCCTAGATTGACAATTAACAAAACAAAAACAGGTATAATATTTTATTTAGAATTTAATTTATATTTTAAAATGTAATTAATATATATAAAAATTGCAATTGTAATTCATATATTTTATATTATAATTTGAATATATTTTATAATTAACAAAATCGTGTACTTTTACTACTTTACCTTTGCCATCAACTAACTCTCATTTAAAGCTAATCTTTACAAACACTTATAGTTTAATAACTGTAAAATGCAATCTCTAACAAATTTCAAAATGATTATCCATTTTTCATATTGTAAATTATAATGTGATGCCTAAATCCACAAAAACTATTTAATTTAATTTAGTTTTGTGTTTAATTTTTTATGTATTAACTAAATATTTGTATTTTTTTCTTATAATTTTCAATATAAAAATATAAACATGATAATATTATAATTCTAATATAATTTGTAATTGACAAAATAGTAAAAAAATAATAATAATAATAATTATTAGATTATTATACCGGCTAATATTTAGGGTAATATGAATACATCTTACAATTTTAGTTGATATTTTGTATTTAAAAAAAGGTTAATATTAATGTCTATTTTTAATTTGGTAAATTATAATGTGTAAAACAATTAGTTTTATTTTTTAATTATTTATTATTAAAAATATGTGAAATATATTTTTTATTCATTTAAATTATAATTATATATAAATAATTATTAGCATGTTATACGTGCCAGAATGTAGAGTAACATGAATATATCATACAATATTTTGTTTTATATATGAATATCCATTTTTCATGCTGTAAATTATATTGTTGTGATGCCTAAATTCTTTTAAAACTTTTTTAGTTTTAATTTATGTATTAAAACATTTATATTTTATTTAGAATACTTTTACAACTTATGTATGTAAATACTGTTAATACTAATTAATACTAATAATATGTCAATTCTAATATTATATTTACAACATAACTATAATCCGTAATTAATAAAATAGTATCAAACTGTAAAAAGAATTATTAGCTTATTTAGGGTAAGTAAAACATGCTATTTTTGTGTCGCATAATTGAATTTTAATATTTTCCTCAAATGATCCTGCAGACCTTTTTTTGTATTGTCTGCCTTCTTGCTAAAACCCTGTATTCTCAAACAGGATACAGTCATGTTCTCCCTGACACAGCTGCTCGGCCGTAACCTGCGAGAGCTGGACCTCACTTCCTGCGTCTGCCTCACTGACCTGAGCGTTCGTGCCATCGCAACGTACCTCCCTGCGCTGGTGGTGCTGCGGCTCGGCTGGTGCAAAGAGATCTCCGACTGGGGGCTGCTGGGAATGGTGGAGCCCACCAAAGATTGTGAACCAAGAGACAAAGAGGTGGGATTGCCCTGTTGTTGTTGTTTAGTTTAGAACTAATATAACGTTCTGATAATAACTGCACACAGTTAGCTCATAAATGCCCCAAATGTGAAGGAGGATAAAGGCCCAAGCTTTACTAGGACGTTTGGGAACATGGGCTTTTTCCAGCCTCCCAGCCTGCCTTTCCAGGAGAGGCCACGTCTCGTGACCGAGGAGGACCTCGGGGCCTTTAGGGAGCATCAAGAGGGAGCGTCTCTTTTGGCCCTCAGGGGTCTTCAGGAACTGGACCTGTCGGCCTGCTCCAAGTTAACTGACACCAGTATCACACAGGTCGGTACCTCAGTGATCAAAGCATGTACTTTCAAAAACTGGCACAGGATATGATGTCAAAATGTTCCTGGCCGCCTCAGGTACTCCGTTTCCCAGACCTGCAGCGTCTCTCGCTTTCTATGCTGCCTGAGATCAGCGACGACAGCTTGGTGTCTGTAGCCTATCACTGCCGCAGCCTCACCAGCCTGGCGCTCAGCCACTGTCCCCAGATTAGTGACCAGGGCATGGCGCGGGCCCTTCCGCTCCTCCACAGACTGCAGCATCTGTTCCTGGCCTGCTGTGACGCGGTTACCAACGAGTAAGTGGCGTCATCCAGTCATTCGTGTTTTTGTTTCTCTGCTTAAAGCGCTCAATGTGTTCCTGCAGAACTCTTTCTATAATCTCGCTGCACTGCGACAGACTCCGGACCCTCGATGTGTCCATGTGTAAGGATATCACAGTGCACCAGGTGGACCTCCTCCAGTCCCGGCTGCCCTTCCTCGAGAAGGTCCAGTGTCGCTTTGCCAACGGTGCAGATTTTACTATGGTACTATGAAGCTGTAATAGTGCATTAGTGGCTGTCCACTTTTTCAGCAGCGTTGTTTCCAGAAGTAATTTTTCTGCTTATTGCTTACGTAGGGATTTATAAAAAAGTATTCGAAAGCATTTGAAGCCATGAACAAAAGCGTACAAAGCAAAAAAGTATTTGAAAAGTGGACAAGGACTTGGCTGAAGGAGAGAACTAGTATACCATGAAGAATTGCGAATTACAATCGAATTAAAAACGATGGAGAAATATAGATCTGCTCATTTAAAGTTGTTGATTATATCTATAGAAACAATATATTTAAAGGTTACTACAAAAATATGGTTCCCTGCAGAGCTGTTTTATGTATGATTTGCTCACCGTGACTCTCTGATTGGTGGAATTTTATGCACAGCATCATGGGTAATGTAGTTTTTCCACCACAAATTCTGCTGTTATTATTTTAAAAAGAAGTTGAAATAATGTAAACTTTACAAGTCGTGGTTCAAAATCGATTTCATTATGGAGAAAATGAACTGAGTTTTACTTCTGCAACCTGACCGCTGCACTCTGAAATATTATAAAATTTAAATATATTTAAAAAACTGAAATATATTTAAAGCACTTTTAACTCAGGTATGAAAGAGTAATCAATTCCTAAATGCTGTATTGTTTTGCATAGGACTGTAATTGTGCTATTAATGTGGTGAATCACTGCTTCTGAATGAATCTGAGGGTCCAAACATTTCAAATGACTCCAGTAGAACTGTAAACATTATCTGCTATTGATTAGTAGATATAAATCTCTACTTCCAGGCAGTATACATCAATAAATATAAGAATTAGTTTTTTGTCTTTTCATTATCTTTTCCCACTGTGATTTGAATGTGCAGTTTTTATAGTATGTTACTTTACAACTTGTGTGTTTTGTCAGCGCCAGGGTAAGGGTGAAATTTCAGGTTACATGACCGAGTAATAAGCTCAAAGGTCTAGTTTTATAATACAATTTGTTGCTTAACGCAACCTGTAATTAAAAGTATGAGTCATGTTTCAAATGTGGAATTATACTATCTACATATATATTCTAATTCAGTTTATATTAAAACATTTTAGCAGACGCTGTTGTAGTGACAGTTCATTTCAAGTTTATGAAATTAATAAATCAACAGCGTACCAAAATGATAGCAACGCTGTCATAGAGTTCTCCGCATGGGCTACGTGTGAAAACAGTGCAACCAGAGCCTGATTTGTAATGAAAAAACATACAAAATAAAAGACATTAAGACTATTATAATAATAGATATTCTTTATTCCATACAAAGGAAAACAAATCTTGAATTAATATCACGTACCATTGTCAGCTGGTAAAGTGGCCACATCGCTGGTCAAGATTGTTACGCAAAACCAGAAGTTTAACAAGGAAAGCTATATACAAAACAATACAGTACATGGATTATTTTGCTAGATCAATGTTGTCATTAGATGTGAAAACCACAAAAGAACACAAAATCAGCGGTTTATATAAATCCTGCAGATTTTCCACACATTAAAGTTGTCAGCTCCATTAATGCACTTTACAATGGCACCACAGAATATTTTAATGATATATTTTTGATCTTGATACATGGTATGCATTATAAATCAACATACTATGAAGTGCTTGTTATGTGGTGATAAAACCACATTTAGCTCTTTAGCCAAAACAGTCGGTGGATGAAATCAGATAAAAGAACACAATCTTTTTTAAAACAGAAACATGATTATCTCCCATACAAAAAACACTGATGTAAAATCCTACAATGGCTAGTGGATTTTTGAACTGAAGGGAAACTGGCTATTTCAAAACGGAGCAGTTGGACCAAAATAAAATGTGAAGTTATATACATCAAGTAAATTGAAAATATGATTATGTGACAAAGCTGAAAGTATCAAATCACACCGATAATATTCAAAGATCGTCCAAACCACTTGGCCAAACTACTCCTCTAACAACACAAAATATCTCCCAACCATTTTCCATATGGAACTTAATCCCACTTCAGTACCAAATTTGTTGATCACCTATTTAATCCAGCACACTGACCTTTAATGTGCACCTTATAATGCAACAGACTGAAAATGCTGCCAATGCAATAATGCCATCCGTGCATTAGTATAAACAGAAACATGAAATGTTCCAGGCATATCAGTGCTCTTTCCATGATAAACTATTAATCAGCGATTGTAATAAACGTTAAACTGTATAACATCGTACTAGAGGAGTACCATTTTGAGTCTCATGAAGGGAATGAATAAGGATGCCAACATTACGCACAAATGTTTATAACATATACTTGATTTTTTTTCCCCCTTCCAAATAAGCTGCTTGATGTAATGCCTTTTAGTACAATTTTGGTAGAAGCTAAACAAGTCAAAAAGGGGAAAAAGTACCACAAAAAGTGTGCGTTCAAACCTGAGAATTTCAGACCTGTCTATTATATGAGATTCGACAAAAAAGGCACGTTAGATACAACACGTCAGGCCTTTAACTAATAAACACACTCAACGCAAGACCGTCTTATTCACTGCAGGCACTTATATTATAGCACAGCACCACAGATAAACACTATCACAAAGTGCTCTCTCTCTCATTTCAAGCCCTGTTAATACTATCAAATGTCTCCCAATCCAAAACCTGCATTTCTGCTGCCACCAAGTGGCCATTTCCTGTTGCTTCCATTGCTGTCTTAGCAATCCAGTAACCGCTGCTGACCACACGCTTATGGCTGGTGTTATTGTTCGGCTTGGCTGAAGTCGTAGCAGAAGTTGAAGTTGCTGGGTGGTTTGGGGATTGGCGGTGCCATGTCTGGGATTGGGACGTTTTCCAGGTCCAGGAGGCGGAGCTTGATTTCCATAGAGAGGAGAATCTCTAGTTCGCTGCGCATGCTCTCGCTGCTCATCTCTTTACCCAGGAGCACATTGAGGCCGTCAGTCCATAGACAGAACTGGAAGACAACAGTCAGTTAAATTAGTACCGCTTGAACCGAGTTAACAGTACATTAACAGAAGGCTCCCAGAAGTTCAGGAGTGGAAAACTAGATTAATCTCACATCTGTTCTGGAAGAGGCGATGAAGTTCAAGCTATACTCTTCAACATCGTATGTGATGCTGAAAGCCAAGTCCAACACTTCCTGCGAAACCAACCACAAGCCAGAACACAGTTACAGTTCAGTTTTATCATCTGATGAAACAAGAAAACTTTTGAATTAATGTTTATTTTTTGCACAGCCAAAGGTTTAGTCAAGGCATTATGGTAATTTACCACCTGTTTTGAGATTGTTCAGTTTCAATTTGGATGAAGTCACAAAGCCAATTTGTTTTTAAATAAACCAAGAAATTATTCACAATAAGACCAAGCATTAAGAAAATAAATATGCTAAATTTCAAGAATGCAAAATATATTGGTATCATATTGATTACTGGCCAATATCCACATATTTTAATTATTTATCAGTCAATATTCAGATATTTCATTAATTTCATACTCATTTTCCTATTTTTCCATTTAGATTGCTATCATCTAATACTCAAAAAACCTCAAGATTAATATCCATTAAACTGTATGTTATAAGGTAATGCCTAAATTCAATTATAACTTTCAAATAACTAATTTTAGTTTTGCTATTGAGCAAAAGCTCTATAGCTTTTTTCTATAAAGCTTTTAAAAGGCTTTTTTTTTTTTTAAGTTATCCCTTCACTATTAACCATTTGTTTTATTTTCATTTAGATAATTAGCAGAATTAGTCATTTTGATTTAAATTTCTTAAATTATTTTAATAATTATTATATTTATATATATATATATATATATATATATATATATATATATACATACACACACACATTGATTTTAATGCATTTATTTTTATATAAAAATTATTTAAGAACACCACATAAATAATAATTTGTATATATTTTTATTTAAACATGATAACCCTAAATTATTAATTATCACCTAGAATTACAATATTGAATCTCGTCAATTTTGAATTTATTTGAATTTTAAGAATAAATAGAAACCACTAAAAGAAAAGAACATTAGCATCATACCTTAGTCTGTTTTCCCTTGTTCTCCTTCATGTGAGGACAGTCTTTCCCCGTTACCACATTCTTGATGTCTGCGACAGGAACTGAGGGGATATCAAAATGAAATGATTTATTTGACTAAAGTCAGCGGTCACCTACTCAAAAACGGAGCTCATTCTAAAGCAGCCAGACTCACTCTTTTCCTGAAGAGCCTCAATGGAGGGCGTTTCCGTCTCCCCTTCCACATCTCCATAGTGCAGGACTTTGTGATTAGGAGAGAGCCGACAATACCACAGCTTGTCTGGGGGGTGGGGAAATTACATAAAACAATGACAACTGCTCCAGATCCTGATCATATTTTTCTGGTGTCTGAGAGGATCTTGGCGTCTCACCTTGCCTCCGTCGGCTGCTGATCTTCCGGAAGAGCGTTCCGTGACACAGACGGTTCAGTCTCTGCTGTCGGATGAGCTCCAGAAGCTCTGGCTTCAGACGTTCCTTCAGCTCACTGAATACAAAGACAAGAAAATGCATGTGTGATGGAGAGATATGTGCCAGTCACATGCTCTGTAAAGTTAGTGATAGGTGCTTTCGAAACACTTCCTTGTGAAGACTCAAAACTTTCGCTTCGAATCATTTGTTTCAGACCACTGATCAAACCGCAAATAACTGTTTTGAAACTGTTAGATACTTCAATGGTTCACCATTCTGTACATGAATCAGTATCTACATGGTTTTTACCTCATCCTAGATGAGTTTTATTAATTTGTAGATATTTTTAACGACAGAAGAGTGATACCAAATACAGATTTGAGTTTAAATGTTTTAATAACTAACTAAAAATGCAAAGCATCCTTGAAGAAACAAACTAGCAACAATACTATTAATACTGATTTTGAGAGCTTTGAAACAGTGAATCATTTTGTGAAGCAATTGGCTCAATTGATTCAAAGATTCAAAAACTGCTTACAGCACAGGTGGAGCAAGCGTCTCTTCCTGGTGGAGTCTCTCCGTCTGTCTCAGTTTGAGGATCTCGCTGTAGTTCAGTGCGTTCACCTTATTCTTGAAGAGCTCTAGAGATGTGGGTTTGCTGGACAGAGTCCTGGTGATCTGCTCCCGGACGACCTGCATCACCTTTAGAGAACGAACAAACTGATGGGTTATATTTGCAATGTGTGTGACTGTCTGAAAAAGTCCCACAGCGCGTCTGTCTCCTCCAATAAACTCACACACACAGACCGCTTGACCTCGCTCACCCCTCAACAACACGTCTCTGGGGTTCAGGTCAAGAGAAATGAAGGTGAACTGAAAAGGGGAGATGGGGAAGCCTGAATAAACCAGCAGGGGAGGAGAAAGGGACACTGAAATTATGGGTCTTTCTTGTAGTGAGCGTCCAGCTGTGACAGACTGAACTGTAATGACACGCTCGCTCAGCTGGAAGAGAGTAAACGCTCACGACAGAGACGCTGCTCACTTCAGACTGCTGATATCTTTTACATGTTATGGACCTGAGACATATTATAGAAAACCACGTTATTAAGAAAAACATGTAAGTGTATTATTCAAGTCCTCACATTTTTTAAAACAGAAAAAAAAAAGAAATCGGACTGGTCCTGGACATGACTGACTGAATTGATGATATGATAACTCAAAAGTTTGTGGTCAGTGTTTCATTTTATTGCTGTGATGGCAAAGCTGAATTTTCCTTCAGAAAAGAATATGCTGATTTGGTGCTCAAGAAAAAATTCTTATTATTATCAATGTTATGTTAATGGTATTATCACTGGCTTCTTTTATTAATATAAAGTTTAAAAGAACAATTTATTTGAAATAGAAATGGTTACTGTCACTTTTGATCAATTTAATGCTCCCTTGCTGAATAAAAGTATTAATTTAAATAAAAAAGACTGACCTTGAACTTTTGAACGGTATCATATGTGACAGACAGATATATAACTAAGTTTAAGTAATCAGTGTTTTTTAGATTAATGAATCTTCCAAAAAAAAACAAAAAACTGGCCACTTGGCCAGTTAACATTTGATTGTTACCTCTTTGTGTCTCACACATTTTTGGTGAATTCTAAGTAAATATAATGTAATAAGTGTTTATTTAATTTTAGCATGATAAAATATGACATATAAAATATTATTCTTAAACCGTTTATTATGAAGTCTATTCATTAACAAATGTCAATTATACATTTTAATGCCATTTTTGTTGTTTGCTTTTCTGAATGCTGCACAATGCCTGAAAAGGCATTTTTTAAAGTTATCCTTTCACTATTAACCATTTAATTTCCATTTAATATGCATAACATGCTTGCAATGTAAAGAAACTGAGCTTGTTATCAAACTCAAGCAAAAGAGAGTCCAATCATATAAATGACACAATACTACTCAAACAATATACATATCAACATACTGACAGCCACATCACATCATCATCTTCCGTCATAACTTGCTTAATACAACTAAAATATTTATTCTATTCCTACAACACAAGAGACAAAACACTCATCCTACCTCAGCTGTAGTGAAAGCACTACAGTCCCCTCACAACCACAGCGACACTGAGTGTGTGTGTGTGTGTGTGTGTGTGTTAGAGAGAGTGTATGGTCCCTCCCTTCTAGATGCCCACCAATAAACTCACACACACTTCACAGGCCTCCGCAAACCAGCCGGCAATAGCAATATGCCAGCAGCTATTAACGGTCGTTAAAGAGAAACAGCACAGTCAGGGTGCAAAGAAAGAGGGAAAAAAGGTGGTTAAGTGAGTAAGTTATTAGAAAACACACACAGTTAGCGTAATTCCCCTTCTGAGGCGAAACAAGAGCTCAACTTTGACTACTTTTCTCAGGTTTGATGTCAAGACAACCCTTGAATTGTTAAACACACGCCACATGTTTCTTAACACGTTAATGTTTTCAAAAAACCTTCCAGAACAAAGACAAAAAGGGCATTTTATACACTGAAAATGCTATTTTGACACTTCAAAACGCTAAGCTATTTTTGGGATGTGGTTTACTGCTGATGTGTATTTCTGCGAGGGAGCGGGATTCCTTTTGTTCCTCTAATACCCCTTTATAAAGTCCCTGCCCACGAGGTTGGTGTGGTGGGGGCGACGATCAGCGAAAACAAAAGACAGGCCGGTCAGCTGGACGCTCGCTCCATCCCAAAGGTCACAAAGGTCACAGGGTTTACAGCCTGAAAGCGGTTATTAAACGGAGGTCTGTTTTGTTGCACCGATGAATAGTTTGGGCTGGAGTAAGAAAGCTTTCTTTGACATCAGAAAAGGAGACAGAACAATTTAGGGAATGTTGATAAACACAAAAGCACTTAAAGGAGGAGTCTGTCGCTTTGGTCAAGGAGCAGCATGCTTGTCATTGCACTAGCTTTACATTTCTCAGACACGTCCAGATGAACCGATCAATATCCATTTGTTCTATAAACTATAAATCACTGCTGCAGGCAGCTGGTCACTTCTCAGATACGTCTGTTGTGCGATTCAATTGCAAATGAATGCTTTCAAGAAGTGATTAAAACACTTTGATTTTAAAATAATAGCCAATTATATTGGTCGCATCTGATACCTTCAAGGCCCAGAAAGGTAGTAAGGACATAGTTAAAATAGTCCATGTTGAATAAAGTCATTATTTTTGTTTTCTTTGCGCACAAAAAGTATTCTCGTAGCTTCATAGCATTACGGTTGTACCACTGATGTCACATGGACTATTTTAACGATGTCCTTGCTACCTTTCTGGGCCTTTCTTGGGCAGAAATTTCAGCAGTAATTTTGTTTAGTAAGTTTCTTATGTGCTTTTATCGTTCTTTGTTTTTTAATATTCCTATTTAGCTTTCCTATTTGTCAAATTTTAGCTTTAGTACTTCTAGTAATTCAACTTATGAAAATTAGAAATGTTGTCCTGGTAACTAAGTAAATAAAATATATATTTTTTTAAGTTTAAATTTTGTGTCTAATATTTATATTTTATTTTATTCCAGTATTATTTTAATTAACAAAAAATAATAATAATAATTTTAGTTAGCAGTAACACTGGTCAGCGAGAGGCTGTATAATGCAAATGTAAAACAAATTGTGTTTTTGGTGCAAAAATATCATAAGTTATAAGTGGATTTCAGAAAGGAAATAAGCTATGAATAGTGTAAAATACAGTTTAGTTTCAGTAAGAGCTGACCAACACAATGAAAGGACAGAGGATGTGAAAAAGTCCCTATCAGCAGAGAGATGGTGGAGGTGATGATCTACCTTATCAAAGTCCTCCTGCGTGGCTCTCATCTCCTTCCATGTCTTGTTGAGGAGCTGAATGCAGATGCAGAAAAACTCCTCCAGCAGCCGGTCCTGAGCAAAGAAGATGGGATGATAGTCTGAACCGGTCTCAGAGGCTGCGGTAAAGACACGAGTGAAATGAGTTACACAACAAGAGAAAATAGAAATATTTGTATGCATACATAAATATAATACAAACATTTCCAGTTTGCAAAATTTCAAGTGATGAAGTCATGTCAAAACAATGTTTTCCCCCATCAGGACATAACCTAAGCTATAAAATCATCTCTGATCATCGCCACCATCTCAAGCACTGTGTCAATTCACTCACGGGGTTCTCCGATGCGCAAAATCTCGCACAAGATGAGGGTGAGCTGAATGCTGCTGCGGGCAAACGGACACTCGTGCTTGTCCTCTCTGCTGCTGTTCTCCAGCACAAACTGAGACAGCGAGACAAAAGACTTATGGGCCGATACGTACTAATATAGTGACATTCAATGGCTCCAAAAAGTATTTTTCTGCATTAGATAACATAATATCCAAGTGGGCTCACTCACCCTGCTGTAAGCATCAGGGTAACGGGAGGCAAAATACGCCATAGTGTCTAACGCCAGGAGACCCGGAGGACACCGGCTCAGGTCCTGACCAGGATTACTGTTATTCTGACAAACACACTCGAATTTAAGCTTTGAGGTTTGTTGTGGTGCAATATTCACACTTTCACTCTGAAACATTTTTGTCATACTCACAGAGAAGCCGAGTTTCTTAAACTCTTTAGCGCAGAGGGAACGTCTCCGTTCGTTACTCAGACCGCTCTCGCTTTCCGTCTCAAATGCGGCCTGCCTGAGCTCGTGAAGCATGTCCCTTTGCTCCTGAAGGATACCAGAGAAATGCATGTGTGAGAAATAAAGGTGAGCTGAGCAACTCAAAAATCAAATGAAGATGCAGAACGAAAGTAAACCTGGTTGTAGGAGTCCAGAGGCGTCCTCATACGGGCCTCCAGGTGGTTCAGACGGACCGTCTGCAGCACATACAGGTAGTGGGCCATCTCATCTCCAACTGAACTAGAGCTGTGGATGATGTTCTGCAAGCAGCATCAATTAAGACACATGATATTTCCTGTTTATTCTGATTGTGATCCAATGGGAAATGTTCAGTGTACCAGGATTTTTTTAAAACAGGAAGTACTGTATGAATGAGAGAGAGGTAAAAAACTTTATCACACCTTGTGAATGTATTGGCGTAGAGTCCTCTTCTCAAGAAATTCAAAGAGCTCCTGAAATGATTTCAAATTTAAAATCAGAAACACTTAAAAAAAAAAAAAATCAGAAATAGTGCTGTCAAACAATTAATCGCATCCAAAATAAACTTTTTGTTTACATAATATATGTGTGTGTACTGTGTTTATTTATTATGTATATATAAATACACACATATGCATGTATATATTTAAGAAAAATATGTTACGTTTATATATTAAATATATTTATATATGATATAAATTATATGAATATAAATATATACAGTATCTCACAGAAGTGAGACCCCTCACATTTTTGTAATTTTTTTATTACATCTTTTCATGTGACAACACTGAAGAAATTACACTTTGCTACAATGTAAAGTAGTGAGTGTACAGCTTGTATAACAGTGTAAATTTGCTGTTCCCTCAAAATAACTCAACACACAGCCATTAATGTCTAAACCGCTGGCCACAAAAGTGAGTACACCCCTAAGTGAAAATGTCCAAATTGGGCCCAATTAGCCATTTTCTCTCCCCGGTGTCATGTGACTCATTAGTGTTACGAGGTCTCAAGTGTGAATGGGGAGCAGGTGTGTTATATTTGGTGTTATCGCTCTCACTCTCTCATATAATGGCTGTGTGTTGAGTTATTTTGAGGGGACAGCAAATTTACACTGTTATACAAGCTGTACACTCACTACTTTACATTGTAGCAAAGTGTCATTTCTTCAGTGTTGTCACATGAAAAGATACAATAAAATATTTACAAAAATGTGAGGGGTGTACTCACTTCTGTGAGATACTGTATATATATATATAATTTATTTTTTTATAATATATTTATTTATTTGTTTGTTTGCATTTTCTGAGTCCAAAATCAATTACCTGCACAAGAACATTTTCCAGCTAGAAATGTTGTATCATAAGCCACAAAAATATACACTACCATTCTAAAATTTGTGGTTGGTAAGATGTTTTTAATGTTTTTGAAAGATGTCTCTTATGCAGCATTTATTTGATCAAAAATACAGTAAAAACGGCAATATTGTGATATATTATTGCAATTTAAAACAACCGTTGTCTATTTTAATATCTTTTGAAATGTAATTTATTTCTGTGATGGCAAATTTGAATCACACTTTCTTCTAATAGAAATGTTGTACTAGCAAAACAGTTCTCAAACACCAATGATTAGCCTTTAACTAATAAAGGGAGTTTAGAGTCGCAACAGACAGTGGCAGCAAAACCAAGAAATCATCAGAGTGAAAACAAAAACCTCTCAACCTCTCACCTGTCTGTCTGCCTCGCCACCAGCCTGCAGCATCGCCATCAGCAGAGCCATGGCCTTAGTCTGCAGCTGCTGGTTTGTTCTACGGTACATTAGACAAAAGCAGAGAAAATTAAACATTTATGTTGATGTAGAATGCGGATTTAAAAATCCAACACATGCTAATCTTAAACGTGATAAATATCCACATGATGAGCTAAACCAGAAGGTATTTTCCAGAAAGAGGAAGAAACATTCACTTGCATGACAAGGGAGGTAACGTTTATTTGTGTGTTAAGCAGAAAAGAAGACAATGACGCCCTCTAGAAATAATTCTCTCTTGAAATGCACTTTGAATGTAATGCAACTGCTAAGCAATTTGACTGTAATGATAATACTATATAACAACAATAGTTGTTGATGTTATTCATTTGCGAAATTAACTATAAAAATGTACCATTGTTGTTGTTTTCATTATTATTCAATTTACGGTTGATATATGCTGTATATCAGTACTGAAAGCAATGAGAACCGTTATTAAACATCTACTATTGAAACTGTATGCTAGTCACTGTTTTCAAACCCTAATGTAGGATCATCATTGTCATCTACTGTCATTACTGTGGTGTATGTCACACCCTCAACTATTGTAGTTCCTCTTCCATACCCATAAAGTAAACACTGGTAATATTGCAAACAGTTAAAGCAAGCGCTCTTCTGTACTTACACCTGCAGATGGGAAATGAGTCTCTCCAGGGTGATTTCTTGTTTGACCTCATTAAACAGACTACTGCTGCTGAGCACCATGCTCTCCAGGATAGCCAGCGACACCTGCTGGATAGACGTGTCTAGAACCTTTGCATTCACAAAACCAGCGATCTGAAAAATGAACACAAGTCAACAGATAAAAATGGTCGTCTTTGTAATAGGCAACTAGGTAACCATTTAAGACGCAGAAAATGCTTCAAAATGCGCTTTGCATTTCGTACTGTATTATGGAGTTGAAGTGTATGTGAAGCTTTAGTACCTTTTTGATAAAGACGCTGGACAGATTCTCCCAGGACACAATGCCATGATCCATGAGCTCCATGAAAGCAGTAAGAGTGTGTGTCATTATCAGAGGAGCCCTGCACAAAAAAACCCAAAACACTTTCACCGGTTTAATCTTAAATTTATGCGGTAATAAAACACTCCAAACCATAGAAATGTGGCAAAGACAGGTGGGAAACTGACTCGTGAGCGTCCTCTACTATCTTGACGAGCAGGGAGTGTCCATCACGGCTGATAAACTCTTGAGCGAATGTGATGTCGGTGGAGACATCGGCCAGCAGCTTCAGAGAGTCACAGCGCACGCCGGAGTCTGAACTCTGAATGCCTTTATACAGATCTTCAGCACAACGGCCCTGACAAGCACAGTCTTATAAATCACCGAGCAAGAAAACATGGCCATTACACGCTACTGTGGTTGTGTACATTTGAATCTAACACAAAGACTGAGTGAACAGATGTGTTTAGATACACTATGTAAGTTAAGAACTGTCGCTGTCAAACTCTGGCTGCGGTCATTTTGCAGAGCCAATTTTGGGCACATGAGGTTGTGTGACACTCACTGGTGCTTTGGTTAAACGCAGGATGCTGCCGTTTTTGATGTCTAGGCGGTTCTACAACAAAAGTCAAAAAGCAGCCAACAGTCAGTGTACAGGAAGTGATACTGTTATTATTAGACATCATTATCATTGGCACAAATGTGTGCAATAAAGAGACAGACAAACACAGCACAAAACCAAAAAACCCAGAAAGACATAGAAAGATAGATACAGATAAAGGCAGACAGAAAGAAAGAAAGCTATAAAGAAAGAAAAGAAATGAAAAGAAAAGAGAAAGAATGAAAAGAGAAAAGAAAAGAGAAAGAATTAAAAGAAAAAAGAAAAGAAAAACAGCTAAAAAGAAAAAAGAAAGACAGCTATAAAGAAGAAAAGAAAAAGAAAAAGAGAGAAAGAAAAAGAAAGAAATAAAGAAAAAGAGAGAAAGAAAAAAGAAAGAGAAAGAAAAAAAGAAAGAAAGACAGCTATAAAGAAAGAAAGAGCTAAAAAGAAAGAAAGCTATAAAGAAAGAAAAACAGCTATAAAGAAAGAAAGAGAGAAAGAAAGAAAGACAGCTAAAAAGAAAGAGAAAGAAAGCTAAAAAGAAAGAAAGAAAACTATAAAGAAAGACAGCTATAAAGAAAGAAAAAGTTATAAAGACAGCTAAAAAGAAAGAGAGAAAGACAGACAGCTAGAAAGAAAGAAAGAGTGAAAGAAAGAAAGACAGAGAGAAAGAAAGACAGCTAAAAAGAAAGAAAGAAAAAAGAAAACTATAAAGAAAGACAGCTAAAAAGAAAGACAGACAGACAGCTAGAAAGAAAGAAAAAGAGAGAAAGAAAGAAAGAAAGTCTTTAGTAGTGTTGATTAAATATGGCAGAGGATTCACGTTGTGTAGTTTTGTCTATAGTGTTGCATCATTATTCCAGTTTATTTTCAAACTCTCAGAGTGAGCTTCTGGAAACCTGCTCCAGATGCTGCTTAATGACATTTGAAGGGCTCTACTTAGGGTGTCCAAAAGCCCATTTGGGATGCAGCCCAAGGCTTGGTGGTTTATGTGCACAACTGTAATTCAAGCCTTTGCCTCTACTTGTCTGGGAACGCACAATCTCCACACTCTCACTTCATTCACACGCACATCTGATGATACACATACATCATATTACACTTTCAGCAGCTCTCAGTCACATCCCCACCATACACAGACAAACACAACATCAAGTCCACGTCTGACCCCACCCAAGATCAACAACAAATATTATACACTGTCAGATAAGCACACATTACTGGATTCAAGTCACCACACAGACACTAACAAGCTCATACACAAAGTTATACACTCAAGATGGTGGAAATGACCTACAGATTCAGTGATGTACGTCTGGATCCCATCTGCATATTGCAGAGCATAGTTGTCAGGACCCGGAAGATTCCACCTTCAAAAATAATACAACACCCTTTACAAAAACAGCTATTTTACATCATAGAAAAATATACATGGATGTTTCAGCAATAGAAAAACACACAAACACCTCAAAAAACACACTTACTTGTCGCAAACCTCTTTTATGACAGCAGTGAGGGGCTTTTTCTGAAATAAGATAAAATTATGAAATGTGTTAAGTGTACACAAGCTAACAAAATAAAATGTGAGCAAGGGTCAATGAGGTGATGCTAATTTTTTGTCTGGATCTATTCACAAAATACATTAAAAATGCAATTCATACATGCAATGACTTGAATACACCTGCTTTATGATGAGTATGTTTTTAATTTCTGAATTAAATGTCATTGATTTTTTTTCTAGGTTTTTTATTTTGATTTTTTTTATAAGGAAAACGGTTTTGTAACCTAAAATGAAAATATTATAAATTGTTTTAGGTAAATTGAAATAAAGCTAAAATAAAACAAATATTAGATAAAGAACAAACTTAAACAAAAATGTGAAATATCGACTTAGCAGCTAAATGAAATAAACAAAGTACTAAACGACTTATACTAAAACAAAATGAAATTTTAGCTAAATAGAAAAATATTTAAAAAATAATAACGAATGATGAGCACATAACTAAATTACTAAATATTTAACTAAAATTGAAATGAAAACCGAAATGATAAAAATAAAAGCTAATTCAAAATATTAATAAATACTAGTTTTTTATTTTGATTTTTTTTATAAGGAAAACGGTTTTGTAACCTAAAATGAAAATATTATAAATTGTTTTAGGTAAATTGAAATAAAGCTAAAATAAAACAAATATTAGATAAAGAACAAACTTAAACAAAAATGTGAAATATCGACTTAGCAGCTAAATGAAATAAACAAAGTACTAAACGACTTATACTAAAACAAAATGAAATTTTAGCTAAATAGAAAAATATTTAAAAAATAATAACGAATGATGAGCACATAACTAAATTACTAAATATTTAACTAAAATTGAAATGAAAACCGAAATGATAAAAATAAAATCTAATTCAAAATATTAATAAATACTATAACAGTATATACAAAAAAAAAAAAAAGGCATATAAAGAAGATTAAATTCTTGAAAACAAAATCCTATTAAGTTGTTTTAGCATATTAGTTTATTATTATTTCCCATAGGGAAAACTCATATTTTAACAAAACCATTTCACTGTTTATTACATTTATTATACAAATTACATACAACAGGAAAAGACATTGGGCCGATGATGTGTGGGTCAATAAGTTTCTTACAACTCTTAATTCAAGGTGTAAAATGTCATGTGTGGCGTGGCTCCACAAAACCTACTGATATTTATGTATTATTAATATATTTCATATTAACCCAATTATTCATTCAAATTAAACGTTACAAAATAATGATTAAGATGTGTACGCTCACTCATTCATCTTAAAGCATTTAAACCAAAACAAAACAAGTGACAAAACAGGAAGGGAAAAGTTCTCCCAAGTCAACATCTGAAATATCTCATAATTTGCGGCAGCTCCTGCGGCTCACCAATCAGAAATTTTGGTGTTCCGCGGTAGACCAATCAGTGGCCTATAATTTGTGGGGCAGAGGCCGGCAGCGAGTGGAAGCGTTTAGGATGGTGAGGAAGTACAGAAGGGAAGGTCATCGGGGGTTTGAGGTTCTTTCTAACTAATCCTTAAGTACCAGACAGGTTCATTCATATTTCAGCCCAGTTATCTCATGGTTTTGAAAACCCAAAGGAGAGCTTCTCTAACAATGGCAGGTCTTTAAGACAATAACACATTGAAGATAGCGAATACGCTCAGCATTTGTCCACCCTATTGTTTCAAGTGAGTAGACGCCCATATGAGCGCATTCAAAACAACTGAGAATGAAATAATTGGTGATGATTTGTAAGAAGTCTTTGATCATACAGACAAAATTGTAATTACAAAAACTTTTAATTAACAGTCTTAAAATTTGTGTGACTGAGCTGACAAAATTTTGACAGACCATTTAAAAAAAACATGCAAATAAAAATTACACAGCTATATTTATGCAAGAAACATGAGAAAAATAGAAAGAGTGACTAAATAAACTATAATAAACAAGAAATAAAAATTAAATAGTCAGTGATAGCCTTGTGGGCAACGCACCGACATACAGCGCCATTGCGCTACGCGTGTCCCGAGTTCGAATCCCAATTTGAGGACCTTTCTCGATCCCGCCCCCCTCTCTCTCCCACTTTGCTTCCTGTCAGTTCTAATCTGTCCTATCATAATAAAGGTGAAAACGCCAAAAATATATATAAAAAAAGAATAATATATATTTTTTTAATTATAAAAGGTTTTTAAAATTTGTCTGAAAAACTAAAATGTAAAACTAAATCTGCTCTCACTTCATTAAAAATCGAGTCCTGGAGTTAAAGACATTTCAGTCCAAATAAAAACTATAAAAATACATTATATCACATATATTATTATCTATTACATTTATTTTATTTCAGAAATTACTTTATTTATAGCCTAAATATAAGCTTCCTTCAGAACATAGTAATGCTTTTTAAAAGATACATGTTTATATTTCTTTAGAATATCTATGTTTAGTATATAATTTCATTTAGTATTCATTACTGAGAACAGGTTGTTAAGGGAGTAACAAGTGAGAATATTGTTATAATTCTGATACAACACAGAAAATCAAATGAAATGATCACTAGATTGTTCTTGTAAATAAATATATCATCTCTGGTTTTAATTTCGCAGTAAATGTGATTACAAAACGTAAACGTACTATTTATGCTTTCTACATATTTTGCACTTGTAAGCAAGAATGCATAATCACGCTTTCTCAAAACTCAAACCTACAGTATTCAGACATAACTTCCTCATTTGCATAAATCCCTTCGTCTTTATGAAATGTATCTGTGAACTTCAGTATGATACTGAATAAACAGTGTTTTTATTCTTCAAATGCTGATTACCAACAAGTTTCGCTCTGTTGCATACACACTGGTCAACATCCTCTTTATGACAGGAAGTACACAACGGCTCACCTGGTCTAGCTGAATGAGCTGCGGGTATGCGCCCGGCATCTGAATGGCAATCTTTACTATATCCTTTTGTTGTGGCATGTTGAGAAATGAATGTCTACAACCTTAAAAGAGAGTGTGGGGAAAAATCAGGAAATAAATACTAAAATCAGCCTACAAGTATTCAAAGAATGTGTGCTCGGTTTAATGTTACATACCTTTCATTTCAAAGTGTATGAAATGTGCCAGCCAAACACAAATATTGACATATTTCAAAACATACAAAAATGGCACTGAGGTGAAGAGTGTGGACAAGAGCTAGGATGTTACGTGTGTCATTAATTCTATTTCCAGATTGACTGTGCGTTCTGTGTTTACCGTCTTCCTCTTTTAAAAGAGAACTTGTGTCTCTCTCAGGTTGCGCTATATGTTACAATACGTCAGCATGCTGGGATTAATGGTGTAGCAAGTGCTCTCGTTTTTCACTTGCCTCCTACACTTGTGACTATCAGCCTTAAAGGGATAGTTCACTCAAAAATCTGTCATCATTTACACAAAGCGTTGCTGGTCTCCTTTGACTCCCATAGTATTTTTTCCATTCTATGGAAGTCAATGGGGGCCATCAACTGTTCAGTTAACCACATTCTTCAAAGTATCTTCTTTTGTGCTCAGCAGAAGAAACAAATTCATTCAGGTTTGGAATAACTTGAGGGTGAGTAAATGATGACAGAATTTTCATTTTTGGGTGAAGTATCCCTTTAAGACTAGTCTAAGTCTAGACCAACCACAGTTTATTTTACACCCCGTCCTACAGTGAAAAGTTAAAAAGAATGTTAAAGTGATAAAAATGACAATTCTGTCATTATTTACTCTCATGTCATTCCAAACCTGTATGAATTTCTATCTTCTGCTGATCACAAAAAAAGTAGTTTTATTTTAAGTATAAAACACCATACAGGAAATGCAGTGATGTTCATGAATATCAAACTTGCCGCTAAGTGTTAAACAAAACTCTCATTATCGTTCAAGCATTTGATGTCAATAATAACCTTACAAATTCTTCGTCCTCAAAAGTTCATAGTAGACAAAAACGAAAATTCAGTAATCATGTCATTCCAAACCTGCATGACTTCCTTTTTTCTGTGGAACACACAAGCAGATACTTATGTATTTTCTTGTATTTATATACAAGACTATGTATTGAATATGTATTTTCTTTATATTTAACTATTTATAGTACAAGACAAGAGGGTCCAAAACAACAGTGGCCCCTGTGATTTTCATTGTATGGACAAACAACATTGAGATATTTCCCAAAAAATCTTTTGTGCTTGAAAAAAAAAAAAAATTACAGGTTTGGAACAACACGAGGGAGAGTAAATGATAACAGAATGTTCATTTTATGGAGAAATACTCCTTTAAAGCCAGCCAATCAGAAAGAAACGTGTGATTTCAGTCATCTTTTCTTATTTTTGCATGCTATACGCTTCAGACAGTCAGTGAACAGATTGTGGCGGCCCATGAGTGTGCCATCTGAAGCTGAAACTACTACTATACGCACAAGCACACGGCTGCTTTATTAAGGAGCCTCTGCCGAATTGTTAAACAGACTCAAGTACTTCCATATGTGTCCTCAGAAGACTTCCCAATGGAAGAGGGAAAGCTGTTTTTGAGTGAACTTGGACAATAAAATACACTAATGGGCCCAAAACAAGATTTCAGCTAAAACTTCTATCACATCTCTGGGCTTTATAGAGATTATTCACAGAAAGTTAACTAATCTAAACCACATGATTGAAAACCTCCTCATATTAATTAGCTTTTTCAAGCTGATTAAATTACTTGTAAGACACGGCCTTCCGTCTAAGGCTTTTGGTAAGAGTTGCTGACACAGACTGAATGTTTGTGTTTCCCAGAATCCATTCCCAGCATGCCTCAGCACGCTCAGAGAGAAGTTGTGACAGCACTACCCTTCTGCCACTCTATTTTTTTGGGTTGAGAAATGGCTACAACAAGAACGAAACCGTCAAAACGACATACACCGACTACTTCAGGGTCCACTGACAGCATTCCCGACTGATTCTTGCCCTTTGAACCCTGTGCATGTCTGATAGAGTCTGATCTCCAGTGGGAGGGAATGGAAGAAATCAGGCTGCCTGGAATTTCATCCGTGCCACCCTCTGCTCTGACAGACAGACCAACAACCTCCAAAGCAGACATCACACACTTTTCCTGCAAAGTTTCATTGGATTTCTCAATCAAATCCTCCTTTGGCAAATCCAAAACGGCTACAAAGACTATTAGTCACATGTTTGAATATTTCATGAGCGTGGCTATGCACTAATAATTGACGTAAAGTACAAAAGATTTATAGGGAAACCGTTTATTCAATTAAAAGCTATTTGCATATAAACCCGACAGAGCATTTAGATTTAAACGATATGGAACGCTGTGTTTTAGAGGCTTCAATACCAACAGAAACAAACTTGCGTTTGAAGCTTCGTTGTTCTGTTCATAACAATAGTTCAATGAGCTTCCAATGCAAAACGAATAGGTGTATGTAAATATTCACACGTTTAAACCTGTTTTGACTTGTTTAGCGTTCGAGAGAAGTAGCAGCCTAAAAGTGTTTCGAACAAAAGTTATTTTCTTTCGTCTTACCTGTTGGAGAGCAGGGAAAAAAATCACTCTCTGCGAGGTCGAGGAGCAGCAGAGCGGATAAACATTTGCGACAGTGATTTGATTCGTTTCGCACGATCGGCTGTTACATTTCGTTCCAAGTTTTCGGAGAGTTCTAATTGATCACATTCACAGTTCCGGGTTGAATAATGTCCCTCCCGCCCCCTGGAGGAGGGAGCGGAGACCCGACTCTCCAAGTTTATGGGATTTGTTTTTGTTTTTTTTTTTTTTTTTTGAGGGACCAAGAGGGGAGACCCGAAACTTTACAGTAAACATAACGCTACAAAACTAAACGCTACATTTACAATCAACGCAGGTGTTTACAGTGCAAGTTAGACGTGATATTTCCCTATAGACTATATTGTCCATAAACACATATATGGGAAATATCTGAATCTGCTAATTTACATATTTTATTACCACTTCATTATTCATAAACAGCCTAGATCTGCAGAGTTTCTACTTTAAATTGAGTATTTAAAAATACTAATAAGAAGAATACAATAATAAGAAATATAATTTAATAATAAAAAAAAATTGGTGTTATATTGAGTCCTGTATAACAATTACATCTTAATGTAAGTATTTTTTTTCTGTTGAATTTTTATTTACTTATTTCATATTTTTTTCTTGTCTGTAAGCTATGCATCTTTTTTTGCATCAGTGTGTTTTCATGGATTAATATCCTACACAACAACAGCATTTAATAAATAATGTTAAATGGTTTGTTGACCATTTCTGGAAAACAATTAAAAATCAGTTTAATTAATAAAATTATATAATACAGTTTGACAGTTTTTTCATCACCAGTACATTCTATTATTAATATAGTATCTTCAATAGTAAATTAAAATAGTACCTTAAAATGTAAAACAAAACACTTAAGTTTTTGTGATATTTAAGTAGAACAGTAGATTTGTTGATGTATATAAAGAATTATCCTGACACAAACAACGCTGCTATAATTAATGCAATTTATGTTGGTGTGACTGATTACAAAAAGATAAAATAACTCTTTGACTTCCTTATATAATAGCTAAACAATGTTATTTATTTACATTTAAGTTACCAACTAAAAACCCAAGGTTAGTGCCTTAAAGCAGAATAGTAATATTTTGGATTCATCCTTGAGGGGTTCAAACACTCAAACTATGTTACCAACCCGAATTTTAAACCACTACACTACAATAGACCTATTCAAGTGAAACTTGAACAGAAATGCCTGGATCTGCAGGATATGACTCAAGCACCTAGATGCAGTATGACAAACTCCTAAGGAATTAGTTTTTTTTTTTAAAGGAAGCAAAGTAGGAACAAATGCCTTAAAATCAAACATAGATATATTCAAGAGCATCACAAATACAAAAACATTCTTTATTTCATGGGGATGACAATTCCAGTAAAGAACAACAATTCTGGTATTTTGCAACGACACAGTGAAGATTTGTAAACTGCTTGAATTCCCTGGATACTTTAAAACTGACTCGGCCAACCCAATCAATGCATAGGGCTGGAAGTTACCTGCGTGATAAACTGTTTTAAAGTGCAATGTGGAGATAAGCTAGACAGAAGAAACTGCTGACTATTTATCTAAAGAAAACCAGAGCAGTTGAGTACAAAAATAAATGGTAAATGCTTACTGTGTACAAGCATAAAAATATCATTTAGCTGTTACGAACAGTAGCAAAACAAGAAACTATTTTAGTAGGGCCAACCATCAGTACGGACATAGTCAGGAGCCCACATATAATGACATTCTGTTTGGACAGTGCTCAATACATAGCACATTGATACTCTATTTCTTGTCATATTGTGACTTTACTTCCCCCGCTCCCCAAACACATCCTTTAGACAGTTTCTCATATACAGACATAATCAAGACGTCACTTATTTTCAAAAGTATCTATACACATATATAAATGGGATAAGGACAGATGTACTTTATGGACTGAAATCATAGGGAGGGACGATGTTTTAAAACACAAATATAGCAACTGGCATCTAATTTAACATTTGTACAGGACCTTATGTGACCTTTCCACAGCAGTTACTCCATTAAACAAGGTTAAACTCATATCCAAACACTGCAAGCTAGCCATTTATATGAAAGCCAGTCTCCCGCCACAGAAAAAAAAAAAAAAACTTCTGAAGTTCTTGGAATTCATAGAAAAAAAATTATCAGAATTCTGATATAAACGGAATTCTGACTTTCCCGTAATTCTGAGCAATTCAAACTTTTTTCTCTGAATTCTACGAGTTTTTTTAGTTTCAAACAGAATAACAAGATAATTGCAACTTCTTCCACACAATTCTGATTTTTTTTCTTGCCGTTGCGATTCCATTTAAGTTTTTCTTCTTCGAATTGCTGAGAAAAAAGTTTTTTAATTAAAAAGTTGCAATTAACTTATTTATTTTTTATTCTGATGAAAATTAGCTTTCGTCATTTTTTGTGAGCGAGACACATAGTATTAACAAAGCACAGCTGAAACAGACAAAGCAGGAATGGTGCATCCAACACTAAGTACGTTCCTTCACTTTTTCTGAGAATTGACGCTATGACAAATAGATTTTGCCATGTAGCACCAAACTGTATCAATTCCACACAATACACGCTATTCTGCAATGCCATCTTCCCCACTACGTCATTAGTCTAACTTAACTACGTCCGCATGGTGTTTCAGAGAGCTGCAAGATGAGAACAAACTTCTTCCTACTGGCAGAATCGCTTCAAAATGTATGCAGAGACATGCTTTATTAAAAAGCATAATCACACAAGTAATACACTGTTTCATTAAACAATCTGTATAATAGTCGTGTCCAGATCAGTAATAAAGTAAATCAGTAAATACACTGAACGAGAGGGAGGAAAAGGTGCTACTTTAGAAGAGGAAGACCATTTAAAAAGAAACATCTAGCTGGTATTTTCATTGAACCATTAACCTCTGCTGGTGAATTTAGTCATGAAATTCCCTCCATGTCTATACAAAAGTAGTATAAAAACAATTTGTTTGGGACTAATTAACAAAAATGGTTTGTATGGATGTCTGATGTCGTCATTGGATCAGTTGAATTTAGCAGGGGACGTTCATTTTCAGTCAGCCGCTTTGGGGTTGGAGTAAATATACACATATAAAAAAAGCTTTATATACAAACAGAATCAGCTTATCATACATATGGATCTGACACAGAGCCACACTTTCTTTTTTTCTCCTTTCAAAAGGGTACATGAAAAAAGAAAGCTCTTTTAAGTACACTACTCTCATTGTACGGTGTGTTTGGAGGTCAAAGGTTGGCAATGGGAACGTCAAAGAGGTCACAAAGACCCTCCGTCTCATCCAGGTTATAGATGTAGTCATGGTCACCCGGTGGAGGGGATAGACGGAGGAGCGGAGAGAAAACTATGAAAGAGAGAGAAGAAGAGTGATACCGTGGCCATGTTTGTGTAACCATATGAAACTGTCGCTCGTTTGAGCATTTAGCATCTAAAATGGATCAAATTTCAGTTGATGGTCAAATTGTAATTACTTTTATTGATTTTATAAACATCATATAATACATAAACAGTGGATTTGTTATATACATAAAACACATACATATATACATCCAAACTTCCATTTCATGTTTAGTAATAGACTATATACAGGTGGCCTGACTCATGATCGCCTTTACCTTCTGATGACATCAGCTCCTCGAGCAAATCTGTACTCATAATTTCTGTATGGAGAAAGAAGGAAATATGACAGATATGAACACAATAAAGAGAAAGGAAAACTTGAAATCGCATCATATGACCCCTTTAAGCACATCAGCAATAGAGAAGCATCAGGAAGGAGCAGCAAATGTTAAGCATGTTTGACCTCACCTTTAGGGTCAAACATTTCTGAAAGTTCTTTGGGGAGATCCAGCACTGAGAAAACAAAGAGAAAACCCAGTCAGAAGTGTTAAAGCCAATTTGTTAAAGCCTTAAAGGAATGTTAATTTATCACTTTTATGGTATTGTCCCAAGCCAGACTCGACACCCAACATTTCAGACCGGAAACTTCTTTAAATAAAGATTAATGACAGAATCATGCTCATTTTCAAAATCATAGGCACTTACAATCTGAAGGGTCTGTTTTGATTGGTTCAAAAAGGGTTGAGGAATCAGGAAGTGAAGAGCTGCTGTCCAATGACGCAGAAGACTGAAGCTGCTGCGTGTCTGTTGATGTCGGATTGGCTGTTGTATCTGAAGTGGAGGTGCTTGAAATGTCTAATAATAACAACAACAGTAATACAGTGTGAGAAATTATACATTTCATTTTATATAATTCTATAGTTACATAATGATAATAATACATGTCATGTAATTACTAAATTTACTAATTACTAATTTTTTTTTTTTATGTTTTTGAAAGAAGTCTCTTCTGTTCAACAAACCGTTGTTTAAAATTTTACAATACTGTCATTTGTAATTTGAATATATTTTCAAATGTGATTTATTCCTGTGATGGTAAAACTGAATTATGCCAGCTCTTAGTGTCACTTGATCCTTCAGAAATCATTCTAATATGCTGATTTGCTGCTCAGTTATCATCAGTTAATAATGGTGCTTAATTATTGGTAATGGTTCTTATTATCATTAATGTTGGAAAAAGTTTTTTTCTTTCAGGACTTTCTGATCAGTAAACATTCATAAGAACGGCATTTATTTGAAATAGAAATCTTATGTAACAGAAACATCTTTGATCAATTTAATGTGTGCGTATAAAAATTTGATTTTTTTTAAATGTTACATAACTTGTGCATCACCATTTCCACAAAAACATTAAGCCGCACAACTGTTTTCAACATTGATAAATGTTTCTTGAGCAGTAAATCAGCAGCATATTAGAATGATTTCTGAAGATCATGTGACACTGAAGACTGAAGTAATGATGCAAAAAATTCAGCTTTGCGTCAAAGTAATAAATTACATTTTGAAATATTATTCAAACAGAAAACAATTATTTTTATCTGTAACGCTTTACAAAATTACAGTTTGTACAATATTTTTGATTAAATAAATGCAGCCTTGGTGAACATAAGAGACCTTAAAATATATAATTGGTAATATTATATATAATGATAACAATATATAATCCTTCATTACATAACCAACTTTGCCATGGTGTAAATCATAGTACAATAAGAC